TAATTCCAGGGCAACAGCGCTCTGAAGATATAACAAAATGGAGTTCACACTCAACATGACACACACATGCTGATTATCTACGTCCCCATAATGTCCAGGGCTAACAGCGCTCTGAAGATAACAAATGGAGGTCACACGTCATCATGACACACAATCTGATTTTCTACGTCCCCATAAAGTCCAGGATACAGCGCTCGAAGATAACAAAATGGAGGCTAACTTCTTCATGCCACACACAACCTGTTTTCTACGTCCCCCATAAAATGTACGGGGCTACAGCGCTCTGAAGATAACAAAATGAGGCCAGACCATAAAAAAACCATACGTGTGGGCTTCTAATGCCATCCTTTGGTGGGTGCTTTCTGACTCACAGCATCAAACACAACACCGTAGCCGTAGAGCTATTTCCAGAGTTTTATTTGTCAAAATCAAATAGTCTGTGCTGCGTAGCGTTGCGAGCGATGTGTTTGCGTTGCGGTCAAAAACCATCGTCACCCTCATTATGCCTATTCCCCTACACCTGCCATCAATGACTACTCTGTTCCCATCTGTTCCGCCTCTCTTGCTCTAAACAAGGAATATTAAGATTTTCGATATTTAACATTATGAGTAACAAATATATATTTCAGGATGTTTTTAAATAATGATTTAAATTTCAGAACTAATTTTTAACTTTTAGAAATTTTTATACAAACTAAATAATTAATGCTTCACACCATGCTTTTTACAGCATTTTTATATTTTTTTCTTAATGCTTTGGATTCCTGACACAGTGACACGAGATGTTTCAAAATCATTGTTTACCCCATTCCAACCAACAATTATATTCTATGTAATTCACCCGCAAATACAATTGGCGCTTTCAGTAAAGCTCCCATCGTATTCCACTTGAAATGTTTGTCTCCAATAAATAAGATTTGTTTGACTTTAATGCATGTTTATTATAAATTTTATATTATTTATGTTGCAGTCATTTTGATTCAAAAAACAATTACCACAGGACTAATAACAGTTATATTAATACAAAATGATATACAAAATAATAAGTTTGCGTATAAAAATGTAATTATTTTCAGCGTATGATACAAAGTACGCGTCTATAGGTGGGCGTGGCTAAGCGCACGCTAGCGTCGAGTCCTCCAGTCCTGCTCTGCACCTGACCCCACGGGAAGGGATACATCACGTGCTGGACAACTTTGGTGAGTCTACATTTTATCACAATTCGAAATAGCGACGGTAAACTGTTCAATAATGATCATAGACAGTGAATATTTAATAAATAGTTAGTGATTGTGATGTATTCTTACTAACAGGGCAACACGTTGTTAGCATCCCTGCCTGCGTAGCTAAGCAAATGGGAGCTAACTTCGCTAACCTCGTTATACTGATATTGTTTATCAGGCCTACAAACTTAAGCCTTGCCGCACTGGAGAGATGTGGTCTGAATCCAACCCGAACCTGACCACGTTTTTAGCCCAAACTTTTCTAAGTCCTATTTGATGTTTTTGAGTGCGTGCGACGCCGTGCGCATGGAGTAGTTTTACAGAACCATTACCGCGTCTGTGCGCGCTGTTTGGAGTGAGGTTATCTGCGAGTACGATGGCAAAACCAAGACCGCGTCTGGGTCCAGTGTCTGTTGCGCTGTTTGGGGTCTCATTGAGTAGATCGTTCCGAGTGTCCACGGCCCTAACTAGTCTTGTCTCTGTCAGCTCGGACCCAAGGAGAGGGGGGGGGGGAGGGACCAGATCTTCAGCTATAGCCTCAGTCGGGACGTAAATAAAGCAAATCACGCTAATGGTGTTGTGCCTTAAGGACATGACTTAACTCTGTAAAAGTTAAATTTCCTTTTGGAACGTGACTGAGGATAATGTATTAACCTTTTAGACCTTACCTTTTATTCTTTTTTTTTTAACAGATTTATTGCAGCAAATCATGTCAGAGGAGGAGAGTGAGAACTGCCAACGAGAAAGGGAATCAAAGGTAAGAATTTCCGATTAATTAAGTAAAAAGTGCTTAAATTTTCCCACAGTGGGATCATGTATTATAGAACAGTGGGGATTAAAAACACCCAAACAAGACAATAATAGTATGTTCAACAAAAAATAATTTAAACTAGAGATGCACGATCCAGCTTTTTTTACTATTTATACCGATACCGAACTATGGTATTGCCGATACCGATAATGACCAATACCGGAAATGATCATGCTAAAATGTATTTAATAATTGAACTCTTTGTTCAGTAACTGCCAAAGCAGTGAGAAGTAAAGTTTTACAAACCATTCCAGGATAAAAAGTGATTCAACATAATGAGCAAAACTGCAACTATAAAGATGCTGCTCATGTCACATTTAAACATTCAACACTGTATTAGACCTGTATACATTTAATTGAATATAAATGTAACATATAGTAACATGTTTGAATAAATAAACACAACAAACAAAACACGCTGCATGAAAATGTAAATAAATAATAGTACCGTAGCTTTAAGTGGATTTCAGATATGGGCTGCGAGCCCATGATGAAGTCCAACACTTTGGGATTGTTGCTGAAAAGCTTTTTGTGACGCTGCGTCGTGTCAATCTGTGTCTCTGTTTTCACTACTCTCCTTTCGATGCAGAAACTCCCTGTGCTGTTTCTCGTGGGTGCTTAGTCCGTGTTGTATTTCCCGAGTTTACCGCCGAGTGAACAACGCTGTGTTGTTGAGTAGAGCGCCACTGAGGAAGTCACGTGTCCACAGCTGTTACAATTAATTTTAATCATATCCTTTTTATACGTATATGGTTAACATATGCCCAATGTATTTTAAGACCAATGTGCGGTACCTGGTATGTATTAAAAATATATAATATAAAAAAAAAAAAAAAGATAAGAAAATGATCGACAGCAGTGTCACAGGCAGATACCGATCCAGTATTTTTTCTGGTATCGGCGCCGATATCGATACCAGTTTTGATCGGTGCATCCCTATTTTATACCTTATTTTTTGTGAATAATTTGAATGTGTTTCAATTGTTTTATTTGACAAAAACGTTTGGTTTTACTGACTACCTACAAGCGAAATTAGATTCAATGTAATAATAGTTACTAGTGTAATTGGATTCTGTTCAGAATTTTCAGTGTCTTACAAACTCGTATTTTGTGGTTTAGTAACAGCTAAGCAATTTCGTAATCTGCAGAATTTACGGAACATCACAAACATTGTGAGGACAGATTGAGAATGATTCTCCTCAACACAACACAAAAAGAGAAGGTCAACCTTGACCTTGCAGCAGTGGGTCACAACTGTAGTAAAGGGTTGAAAATTTAAATCAATGGACGGTAAATATTTTTACCTGAAATCATTGTGTTTTTTTCTAGAGTGATGAACCCATTATTCGCGGAACTCAAAAGAACGATAGTGTCAAATGTATGTATAACAACTGACAAGTTTACACTTTAACATTTTCACTTTGAGACAAAATCTTTCTCAAGCTTGACAAAACAGTTTCTGCATGGGAACAAATTTGAGAAAAAAGCTACAAAGCAAAGAAAAAGTCCAACAAGCAATTACAAGATGACACGGTAGTCTAGTAATATTTACCTTATAGACGATTCATATCTTTGTACTATGTTTGGTCTTGTTAATCAGCATGTCGCGGGAACAAGATGGAGATGCTCATAGAGAAAAGATATCAATGCTCCCAGCCAGAACCACAGAAAAGAAAAAGAAAAGCTGCACATAAGA